TTTTTTTTTCTGCTCTTTCATTTACATATGAGTGATAGCAACGAAACTAAGACGAAAGTCTTACGCAATCGGGACAAAACATCTACCAATTATCGACTTGGTCGCGAGCGAGAGTTAGCTTTCATAAATATGATTACCCCTTGGACTTGCGCGGAATCGAAAATAGATTGTATTCAAAATCTAAATTTATTCTATCACTTTCGTAAATCAAGTGTGAGCAAACTTGAAAGATGCGGTTATTAAAACCTAAAGGACTCACACAATTAAGTCTATGAATTCATTTATAACGGTATTTGTTACTAAAACTTTGAAGAAGCGTTAAATTTCGAACCAAAATCGTAGCATTTCTCTTATGCACAAAATATTATCATGTATATCGAAGCTAATGAATTTGGCCCGACCAAAATCCTATATTTGTATCTAAAAATTCTTATATTCCCATCATAAAGAGACGTAGAATATTAATATTTGGAAACACCTGAAAAACAAGCAGCACAAAAAAAAGGAAAAACTAAATCGAACGCAGAGCCGCCATTTATTGAATTTTACAGTCTTCGTATGAACGTACGTGAGAAACTTGTATACATTTTTCATTAGTAGAAAAGTGTATTTATGGAAAAATATCCAAGATATAGAAAACAGTAAATATAAAAAAAAATTGTGCAAAAATATTAATAAACGTCAAATTCTATAAATGGAAAAGTTGTATTTTGTGAAAACAATGAAGTTTTAAGAAGAGAAGAAGAAAAATAGAAAAATATACATAGCAAATTGAAATGTGTATTAGTTGAGTGTGAGTGTGTGAATTAAAAATAAGAATAGAGCCACAGAGGTTAATAACAATTCTAAAATATATGAAAAAATATGTATGGAGTAAGGCAGTTATAAAAATTGGGGAAAAAATACATATTTGGCAAAAGTTTTTTCTGATAATGGACGTTGTGGTGCAAGAAGGGTAAGACGGAAAGAAAGAGCTACATACACGTTGAGATAGCTACTGGGGATTTGGATAAGTGATTGCTTGAGCGGAATACGGTTTCGCAAACAAATTTTACAATAAACTTTTTTGAGTAAAAAAACTGATTTCGGATGTAATGTATTGACTGCGTGAATCATAGCTTAAGGGCTTTTGGTTAATGTACAGCACCTTTGAATACAAAATTTGTGAAAATATTTATAATATGTACATAAGACCTCCATGTTGCAAAAACACGAGCCCTACATTCTCTATAAAGCACATATATATAAATATATAAATGGTACGCTCTTCGCTCAGATGCATACAAACAAACTATATAATCCGTGTATGTATATAAGCATGAATATATTTACAATTGAATACACTACGAACGTAAAAGTCATTAATATACTATAAAGTGTGGTGAGACAGATTTTCATACGGTTAGTCGAAAAGACGGACAACTGAAGGCGATTATGCGGGCAAACTTAAAAAGGCTAGTTGCTTGATGTGAAATCGATAGAAAAAACTAAAACTATATAAACTTGTAATGAAAGCAAAATTTCCTACACAATTTTTTGCAATTTGCGTTTAGTATATATGTTTGTTTTTTTTTTCCACATAATTTTCACTTTGTTCCTCTTTCTTAGAGTTTGTAGAAGCCATTTCCAACACTGATAATTTGCTAAAAATAAAGAGGTTAGGAAACAATAAATGCAACCCTGCGCACTCTATGTGTTGCGCGATTGTACAAGTAGGCTGTGTAATCACACAAAAAGCCCATCGTACCTTTTTTTTTGTCGCGCCAACTGTGTTTTATTTTATTCCTTCCTCAAACTTGGAATAGTTAATGAAAATCTCTCATTTGCACAGTGATTCTTTATTAAATCAAACAAAGCCATGAGAAAGTGAGTAAAATTTTTTTGAGTGAACTAAACAAACGTCAAAGAAAAAAAATTGAATAAAAATACCAATTGCGCCTCAGATAGTTTTATAAATTTGTGTGGAAATTAAGAAAAAATATATATGTAAAAAGCACGTTAACAAATATAGTCTTGCTAATAGAATCCGATGCAAATGGCATAATTGTTTGATAAATATAAAAACAAGAAAAATAATAGAATCTGGTGAGTTTTTTTAACGTAAGAAGAAGACCATCTATTATTTCAGCCTATCTTTTTTCGGAATTTTGTGTGATTTGCTGAAACGATTTATATCATTATTTTTGTTTTGCAAGTTTATAGGTGATTTTCTTATTTCGATTTTTATGAGTTCTTCAGGTCTTTTTACCCAATTTGACTTGTTACAATTAGCCGCCATATTGAATAAAGTGATTGTGATTATTCTTATTATAAACTTGTATCAATTTTTGCGACAATTACCAAGGAAAGATATAAATAAGGTGTTTCTTCATTTTGGTAAATGAAAATACGTTTAATCCCTAAAAATATATTTAAAAGGTCTACAAAAATATTTACAAACTTCTCTAGTTAATTTAGTGCACGGTCAGCCATTTTTTCTTATATCAGACATTTCTACTATTTATTCTTTCTAGTCTAGTCACTGGTTATATAGTTGTCTCGTTCTGGTTTACATGATTTCTTAAAAATGGCGTCTGTTTTCGTACTGGTAGAAAAGGTTTTCCATGCCTGTGAAAACATTTTTAATTTCATGTACATGACAGGAAAATATTTTTCATTTAAAAGATGTTTTGTTTTGATAGTTTGGCTTTCACTCTTTCTGTTTTTGATTACTGATATTGATTTTTTCTCTTAAAATGGCAACACGTACCCTTCCTTATTTTGTATATTAACAGAGGAACGTGGTGTTTACAATAGACTTGCGCGGTTGTTGTATTTTAGACAAATACTTTAACACTTTTTCATGTTTTCATCTTAAATTTATAGGAAAATCTTGGAAAACAGCGCCTTGTTTAAAATAAAAAAATTGCTATGAAAAAATTGTAGCGATATGTTGTAGTTACTTTTTTCTCGCTTAATTTTTTACATGTAAATATTTTTGGTAAAAAGCTTCCTCATTTCTTATCGCTGTTTCACTCTCTCTGGGTTTTTTTTCTTATTTTAAGATAGGTCTTCTTGACTATTAGATTTATATATGTTTATCTCTGTTTTCCAATTATTATAAAAAAGAATGCAAGATTTTTCTTGTTTTCTTTCCTACATTGAAAGCAAAAGTTGTAAAACTGGTTAAAAGTATGTAGTTTTTTTTTTATTTATTGAAATGCTGGTGAGGAAAGGATTATAGTGTAATGTATATGAATGCCCGTACGTGGAAAATGATTTTCATGAATAGCAAATTTTAAACAATTTACTTTATTAGTCATTTGATCTGCATTGATGCAATTCTTCAAAGATATAAAGGCAAGAAAATGTGTAAAGAATTCAATATTTTCGAAAACGTTCAATATTAATGTTTTAATAGATTTGTCTGAACTGCGTTTCATGGCCTGTGCGTACTGACTTTTCTAATTAGATATGTTAACCATCCTTTAAATAGCGTAGATAGGAGCGGATACGTTATGAAATAGTTTTCACCTCGAATATGCGTTTGGACGAACTCAGTCCAATTAATCAAAAAGTTGTTCTTATATGACTTATATTTTGTCACAAAATGTGTTGTACAAATTATGAAAATAATTTTTAAATTTTTTAAAATTATTTCATTAAGGAAATTTAGTAGTTTTTGAAAAGAATCGGTTTAACTTTTTTGAGGGCAAATATCCTTTTGTCCATCTAAACAATGGAATCTTGATTTCTATGAAATAATAAATTATTTTTTAATTTTCGGAATGTAAAGAAGTGCTCCATATTCCTTCTATAACGCAGGATGTTGTGGTTTTTTTTTTACATTTCGGAATGTAGAACGGTTTTGTGCCATGTCATATTAAAAGAATAAATGAAGTATTATGGCGGTGAATCTATTCTTATCAATGACAACAATACCTCAAGCAATTCGTTTTTATTGTTGTATGCGGCTGGTTCTTAGTCGAAATGTCCTCGCGGTTGGGCTACAAAGGTTCGGAATTAATTTTTTCTCAAATATAACGCGATAGTTAAAGATAATTTCTCGTAGCTAAGCCATTAAATAAGTAAGGTAGCTTTCTCCACGAACTGAACAAAAAATTTTGTGAATTGGGCTGCTCAGTTAATTGAGAACTACTTCATTACCAGAATGGCGACTTTAGTTTTCTTCATGTCTATATAAATATTTGCGCACACCTCTACAAACAATATATACTTTTTAAAATGCATTTGTTTTCATGTAACCTTTTGTTTCTAGTCGATTTTGAAATTGTCGAAACGCCTCTCTTTTGTGGGGTAGGGTAAGGTTGCCAGTGCCATTAAAAAAGTTCGTTTTTCTTCTTTATGCTTGCCCTGCAAAAAGTTGTCGGAGTCTTTTAGAATGAAAAAATAGATATATTCTGCAGTCGTTATTCGCATGTATGTGGTGAATACAATACTCATTTTTTCTCTCACCCTCTTTCGGTTGTTTATTTGCTACGTTTGCTGCCGTTCGATTTTCTTGATTGTCTACAATCAATGCTAGTTTGAATTTTCATCTAAACTCAGCACAATTAATCCACGCTATAAATTTTGGGGGACGAAGAAGCAGCACATTTCGCGCCGCCTAGTTAAGAATCAATTTACAGCTGTAATTACAGCTATCTGAGAAATCAATTATAAAATATTTACTTATTCAAGTAAATTATCATATATACTAAAAGAGTAGAATTAATTTTTGACAAGCAAGCTAAGAGGATTCAACTTTTGCATTGCATCACTTAAGTATCGTTTTCGCCGTTTTCATTATCGTTCGGTGTTAATAAATCTAATTACCGACAAGTATGGCGAGAATTGATTGTACAGGGTTACAGTTTCTACTTCACTTTGAAGATGGCATAGGATGCTTGCTTTTCATATTAATGGAAATCAGACCGACACCCCGACAGACAAAATTTTGGTTGCAGTCCTCTCGACTTGATCCTCTTCAAAGACTTTATGAAACAAAACACTCAGTTGAGGTAGAATACGTCACACGTTACAGTCGCATAGCAGCTCTTTTTATTACATTTTTAAATCATTTTGCCTGAATCAAGATTATTAAAAGCTATATCAGATGTAATAGGAAAAAATGCGGCCATAAAATAATTGATTTAACATTAACAGCCTGTTGTATAAGAAAAGCTCACATTATATACATATATGCTTTTTGTTTCAAAGATTTTTACTATTGTAGTATGTAAAAAAAAATCTATTGATTTTTATCATCATTTCGTATTTCGAATTTGAATTGAAGAATATATGATGTGTGTATGTAAATAAATAATAAAATAGATGTATGTAAATAAATATTATTATACATGGCACAACTGCGATATTAAAACTATAGTACGTACAACGTATGTATCTAAATATGGAGATGGATGGATGTGGTTGTCTGTGTGCTTGTCGGCTGACTATCCATCTATTTACTTTTGTGATGATTTTCAACAAGGCAAGTTGCAAATTATATGTTATTATATTTATAAAACGTAGAATAAGAAGTGTCACGTATTGCAATACAGCAATAGGAGGAAAATGAAAACAGTAAGAAAACTAATGGATGACAAAGTTTGCATTATATATATACATACACATATATATAGGATGTTATATCGTGTATTGTGTTTGATTGCCCAATGAGTGAAATAGAGAGATGTAACGACGCGCGAGTGCCAAGGCAAAATTAGCGCATTCACTTTTTGGGTGCTACGAACTATCAGACCAAGCGAACGTAAACTGAATACAACCAATCGAACGACCGACCGACCAATTGTGCTTGGGTATGGCAAAGGAAAGAAATGAAGAAGCAACCAAACAAACAAAACAAACGAACACACACTAATATAATCATAGCCAATGTAACCAAAATCCATAGAAAAAGGTGCAAAAAGAAATATTCACAAAAAATATTTTATACAAGACACAACAATACAAAACGATAAATATAAATAAATGAATAAGAGTTTATTAGTTAAACCTATTTGGATGCATTAAATTGCCGTAGAGTTGCTCTTTCTTCCTTAGTAAATTGCACAATTAATGCAAAATTTGTTTAATTTTTCTGGCGCCCAGTTTGACTGTCTGTGGATTCATTTCTTCATCATTATCATCATCACAATGAACGGTCAGATCATTCGAGTATCACTCTACTTGACAGTTTCGTCAATCTTTATTTGCATGCAAGCGAATCTTGCTTTATCAAAGAAGTAAAAATTCTACTATTCGTCTTAATGAAAATTTAAGATATTATGCGATACCACTTGCTTCCAAATTACACTGCCACGTTGGAAGTTAGTTAGTAGATCATGTCTTGAAGATTGCTTTAGCTTTTCAGATATTTATTGTGTATGATGTGCTGCAAACAGCATAATAAAATGAATATGTTTTCTTTCGGCATGTATTGGTTGAAAAAATGAAGGATTGATTATGAAGTGCATATATATATATATATATATACAAAGGAAAGCTAACAACTGGCAGCTCCGTAAGTGGCTAGTACGAGAGGATAGAAGAGATGATGAGAGGTGAAAACCAACACCAATAATGCAGTGATTTGTAAGTTTCCATGTGTGTGTGTTTCTTTGTATCTATACTTACTATAGACGCAACGCGACTTATGCCGAACGATTGTCGGCAGCAGCCAAACCACTCACGGGTCGTTTACTCTTAAAAAGAAAAGTCATCTTAAACGAAGAGATACACAGTAATTTAGAATAGCGAATCAAAAAGACTATAACAAAAATTTAATACGACGAGAATATGTTTGGCTTTTACAAATGGTTGTGCAGCGAACAGAAAACATGGCGCTTGGTTTGATCCGAATTTCGGTGATCACTAATCATTTTATTTTTCCTTAAGAGAGAGAAGATGTAGATAGATCCTTTGCGATTTGAACATACAGATGACAATGTAAATTCGGTATGAATGGGTGTGGGTTGTATCATTGCAGGTCAATGGGATTTATGTGCTGTCATGTTTTAGATATTGCGGCTTCACCAAAGCGATAAATATAAATAGGTGCAATCGAATTTCTGATGCGTTCTTCAATGCGTTATAAAAATAATGATAAATACCAACCAACCTTTATGAAACGGATCCAAAAACCAATGCCTGGAGATAAAGTGGAATATGAAAAGCTTTGCGATTGACCAGGAATAAGATTTTAATTTTAAATGATTAAAGAAATTGTTCTTGTGCTAAAATGATTTATGTAACTATAAGTTATTCATGCTCGATTCGCGCATATTGATAATCTTAGCATTCTGTCGTCTTTACGTTTTGCATAGACAAGCAATGACGATAAAAATAATTACTTGCTGGTAAAAATTGCTCAGTAGGTGTGATTTTTATGTGTGCATGTTTATATGTAGAGACGTTGATTACCGATTGTATTCGGTGCACTTATGCCCTTAATGTTTGCCTGCGTAAATGTCTGTACACTATAATATGTGTAGCTTTTCTGTTTTTTAATTCTTTCTTTTTCATTAAATTTTATTAGTGAATTTGTTTTATTATTAATAGACTATTCATTAATGAACAATTGAAAATTATTGCAAGTGACACATTTCGTATGTACACACATTGATTCAGTGTGTAGATAATGACAATAAACATGTGTGTACGTTTATTTATTCAAGAGTGCAAAATATTGACGTCAAGGGCAGAGTTGCATTTTAAACTGTTTTGATTTTACATGTTTTGTATATATATTTATTCAACTTCAAATTACGGTAAAGATGAGCAAGTTTGCTCTGCATTTCGAAACCATGTTTTCACTGATTATTGTATTTACAGCGAAGTCAGAGGCAAAATCTTAGTGCCATTATTATTTTTTGAGCAAAAGTTAAAAAGCAATTGGAAATCTTTTTTTTTGTATGTTGAATGGAGATGGGCTACGCCAATAGATTGGAAATCTTAAAAGAATTTTTTTCTTATGGGTAGAAAATACATTTTTTTTCTAAAAAAATGCCAATTTTTTTACGCGCATTTGTTTTTGTTTCCAAAGTAAATGTTTCTCTTAGATCTTGATTTTAGTTAGCAAAAGTAGATAAAGGATGCTATACACTAAAATTAACATATGCCAACGATCTCTGCAAATGTACAGAACACGTAAACATGACAGCCAGACTGAAATAACATCCTGATTATAAAGAATTATACCTTTAATTATTTTCAAAATATGTTGAGCGCTTATCAAAACAACAATATTGCTGTAAATCGTTGTTCCTTGACATTCTAATTAGAAGAATTAGATTAGTTCAATGTCAGATGAATATGGAATTGGACGAGTTTGCGCTTACTAAGTGTAATTATTTTGTTTTAAATCATATTATATTTTTTTATATTGGCTGAGATATGTAGAATGTGTATTCAAAACGACATCGTCATTCCTGTAATAAAACATAAGTCTGAAAATAGATTAAATTCTGAAATAAGTCACACAAAGCAAAATCACAATTCTTTTGGTTTGCAAGCCGGGCCATTTCTTTGACAGTAAGACTTAAGTAATTCGAAACTTATTATTAAAATTACATATAAAAAAATAATGACAGAAGCGTTAAAAAATAAAACCCAATTCTTCGTCTTAATTTAAAATGTTAAATTTTGTGAAAAAATTCACTGAAATTTTTAATTTCTTTCAATTTTGACAAACATTCACAAAAGCTGAAGAGTTGCCATATGTTAAATTTAAAACGCGCATATTCTACTTTTGCTAGTTTACTTTTCGTTTCACATTCCGTGGTGGTGAGAGCAAAAAGTAGACATGTTCTTTCTTGGTTCGTATACAGTAACTATGTACATATTTTTAATTTATTTTGCAAAACCTTTTAATTCAGTTTCAACTATCATTTCCCTCCTATGCTTTAATTCTAAGTTGGGTTGTGCGCAAAAGTAATGTAAAAAGCTCTTAGGTATGTTTTGCATGTGTTTGACTGCAGTTTTAAGAATTAACATTTTAAAAAATTATAAAAAAGCGAAGTAATAAGTATTGGCGTAATATTTTAGGCGCAATTAATGTGATGAATTTAATTCTCCTTAACTTTGTCACCGCTTTTTTTAATCGTATGTTTTAGACTTATATCGTTGCTATATGTGTTGTGTGCTTAATATTTAAAAGTTTTACACGTATTCTAAGGCTTTTTGTTTCCTCATGTACGTATGTTTTGTTGCATTTAGTTATGTAATCTCGTTTTTACATTTCTTCTTTGTTTCATCTCATTTTTGAGGCAAAATGGGTGTAATGATTGTTTTTCAGCTTTTTTATATATTAAATTAAAAAGCTTATATAAGCAAGTGCAAACATTTAAAATTAAAAAATTTGATGTATTCTTAAATCGACCAACAATTATGCGGATTTGCTTATATACCTTTTAGTTCTTGCCGATATTGTATTTGTACATTTGGATGGGTTGCTGTTGGGTAGAAGGTAACGGTAGGAGGGAGGAGGGGAGGGTTGTAGGAGGTGCATTAGATATTTACATCGCTTCGATGTATGCAATGCATATATACATGTAGATATTTATACTGAAGTCGGATATAAGGTAAATTCATGTAAATCCATATTGTGGATTTGTGCACGTAAAACCACGTAAATACAAAAAGTAGTATGTATGATTCACCTTGAAAAATGTAAATATAATATATCATCCATATAAAAATTTATCCAAATTAACACAATTTTTATAAATACAATCAATAGCCTTTTTTCCATAATTCATTGATTTCCCTCCTTTTAATTGAATTGATTATTTGGAATAGAATATATTGTGAATCAGGACGCATTTGAAAGTTTATACAATAACATTGACTAAAACGCTAATTTATAGATAGAGATTCGCCAATCTGTTGGTCAATGAAAATTTCGAAAACCTCAATTGTTCATCCAATTTTAGTTTATTAAAATGTATCTGAATTCTTGACCAGCATAAGAGTGGATGAGATGATTACGTATATTTGTTCATCTGTCAAAGAAATTTTAAATGTTGTAGAAAACGTTCAAAATTTCGCCAAATTACATTTGAAGATTAATAATAATGAAGAAATAAAAAGAAAAATTAGACCCTAATGACAGAGCTAAGCGGATTGATGGCAAATTTAGATCTTATCCAACTAGTTAGCTATTAGCAAAGAAAATTTCTACTGCTCTAATGAGGCATATAGTCAGGTAAACAGAAATTTAGAGGAACTTATTGGAAACTTAAGATTATTTTTTAATTATAGATTTTAGTAGAACGAAGATATTTCGCCTATGTGGTAGAATGAAATAAATTGATTTATTTGTGCAAATGCAATCTTTAAGTTTATATTTTAATATAAATTTTTGTCTTTTTCTTTACAGCTTGTTATTAAAACAATATAAATCGACGATTTAAAAGAAATAAAAAAATTGAATTTTTTTTATCACAAATTTGAGTGAGAAAACTTTATTAAACAAACCCCAACAACGAACGCGCTTTAATTATTAAGCACCCTCAGCTTCGATAGGGAAATACCTTTGCAAGAGAAAGCGATAGAGCTGGTGTAGGATCCACAACATTTTACAAAAGAAATACTAAAAAAATTGTATATAAAAACTTCTTGTATATATATACATACATATATATAAATATACATATATATATATATAAATATATATATATATAAATATACATATATATATATATATATACATATATATATATATATATATATATATATATACATATATATGTATATGTAAATATATATATATATATACATATATATGTATATGTAAATATATATATATATATATATCAGTTACTGTGTACACTTGCAATTTTCCTAAACACCAAAAAGTTATGTTGACGGATGTGATGGCTAATAATGTAATGTTGTCGAAGGATCAATTGTTCTGTTATAATCAATCGCATTTTGAAGCCTTATACACGGACTATTGTTTTGAGTTAAGCCCCCATGATTTTGGGGGCCCGCCACATTATATCCACCAGGAGCAGCAACATGCCAACGATAACACCACAGCTTGGAATCAAAATATTCGTACAATATTTCAAACCGTAAATGATGATAAAAGTTAAGTAATGAGAGCCTAACAGCAATAACGCACACTCTTTTTATCATTCGTTATATGAAAAGAACACATTTTTAAGTTAAAAACAAAAGACGTGAAAGTTTTCCAAAATTGGTGTTAAAAGAATCCTTCACAAAGACAAAAATTTAGAAGTCCTTAAAACAGGACAGAAAACTTATTTAATTTGTTTTTATTTTTTCTTGCTAAGAGTGCCGAAAAGAAAATTTTAAAACTTGTGCATTGCTAATTAGCTTTACATTAACAAATAATTTAAAAGAATCATATGTTTTGCCGGCCTGGTGATAAAAAGGAGAACGTTCAGTAAGACATATAATGCCCTTACCATCTTCGGGCATAATTATAGTGGAGAAACCGTCTTCAGTTTGTACAACTACCGGCAATAAGACAGTAACGAAAACACTACAGGAAGCACAGCAGCACCGTCAGCAACCACAGCAACAGCAGCAGAAAGTTCAATATTATGAATATTATAATGTCAATGAAGTCACAAAAAGACAAAACCAGCAGCAGCAACACCAACTACATCCAACCATCCTGGTGGGTGATTCAATTTATCAATCAAGTCAGGCGCAGCATCTACAATTAGGCAGAAAAGTAAACACTTCACGCAGTACCATTAATTTACAGATAAAGGCGAAACCTGTGCCCATGCAGCAACTACAAACCAAAACTCAGCAAATCATACAGCATACATCCCATTCGCAGCCGCAGCACCAACAACAGCAACAGCCATCTTTTCAACAACAACATGTGCAACAAGTTCATTTGGTGCAACAGCAACAACAATCCCAACAACAGTCCCAGGCTCAGTTGATTCAAGTTAGTGAAGAATTTTTGGACCAGGCGGCAGTAGCGGCAGCAGCAGGCGCTCAAAACTCCCCAGCGAATATGATGATATCGACTACCGGTGAAGTTATAAGTCCACAACAGATTTTTAAAATTGTTAGCACTGATGCGGCTTCTGGCAATGTAATCATTGACACCAATAACCAAAATCCCAGCAACACTTCCAAAGTGTTGCTAAGCAATCTGACCGTGTTGTCGAAGCAGGGAACACAGTCCGGCCATATAAATACACAGTCTAACCCTGGTCAAACTATAAATTTTGTTAACGCTAAAAATTTATTCACGGCCTCTGCCGTTAATAACAAGCAGCAGAAATTTACTGTGACCTCTACTGCAAATAATAATACTTTTAATAAGGCGAGTGGTAGCAAACAGTCAACTGCAACAAATCTTAATCCTGCCCAATATGCGCAACAACAGGTGGTCACAACGACATCGCAAAAGCTTAACATGGCGCCAACACGTAATTTACAAATGATAACCCGTGTGCAAACAGTCGTTCCGGGTTCTGTTAATAATGGCGGACAGATCAGCGGTGGTTCAACATCTGCCAATACTCAACCTGCCGTGTTACAACAATCTCACAAATTCATTACAAATGCCATAGCGCCCAAGACGACACTTACTGCGACCAGCGGCAATATTATGAAAAAGCCATCCGGTACTCTTAAAATGAATAGCACCAATTCGATAGGTACTGCTAGTGGTAAGCTGATAAGTAATATAATCCAACAACCTTCTCAAACTGTTAAGACCTTTATCGCCCAAGCACCATCATCGCTCATACATCATCAGCAAAATATACAACCTAATGTTGCTGCTATCGGCGCGATCAACAACAAAGGTAAATCGAAATTTGTAAAGCAATACAATAATGCCATACTCAACAGTGCCGGCACTGTTGCAATAGCTACACTACCCCATCAACAAACACAGCAAGCAAATACACCTTCTCAACATCAGCAACCACAACATCAGCAGCAAGTTCAACAGACGTTCAATTTGACCGCCAAAGTTCACAATTCTACGGGTGGTGGATTTACTAATAAGTTTGCTAAAATTAATAATAAGTATTGCAGTCCTAGCGCGGGCGTGATTTCCCAATTGCCACCTGGTACCCAAGTCCAGCAAAAAATTATACATCTTAATCAACAGCAGCAGCAATACGCAACTAGTAACGGTAATATAAAATTTGTTAATGCTCAAGGCACCATTGTACAACAACATCAAACGAATGTAACACCCCAAAAACTTAACCAAAAGCATCAGCATCAGCAACAATATCAAAGTTTCTCTCAAGTGCAGCAACAACAAAATTACGAAGCGGCTGATGGTGGAGGTATGTATCATACTCCTAACAGTAACGCAAACAATCAAAACCAAAATTATGCATCAACAAATCCTCCATCATCACCGAGTGCCACCAGCGTCAGTAGCAACAACAACAACAATAGCAATATCAATGCTTCATCTCTTTTGACCGATGATGTTATGATGGTTAATGGCACACAAATGACCGATGAATTGTCGGCGCGCATTCTGCAAAGTATGTCTCAAAAATCCTTCAGTAATCAACGATATCATCATCAGCAGCAGCAGCAGCAACAACAACAGCAGCAACAACAACAACAACAACAACAATTAATGCAGAAGAGCAATGTTAATACAAATAATAGCGGAATGTTGCCACCGGCACCGACGCAGTCGCCGCAAACGCAGCACAACAGCTCCAATAATAGCTCTAATGCGAACATTTTACTATCGCCACGAGAATATGCATTGTATCCCGCAGCAACAGCTGTTTCACAAACTTTAACCGTTGCAAACAATAACAATCTACAGCATCAATTTTCTTCAGCTGGCATTATGTGTCAAACAACCGGAAATGCATCTGCAAATTATAACCCGCCCGCCACTTCAACTTTTGTTACAATGACTACACACACGGTCTCCGCGCCAACAACAACGAATGGTGCCTGCAGTCGTCAAGTTCAAAGTGCTCCTGGCTCTCGTTCCCAATCCATAGAACGTAAGGTTCATGAGCCATCGACCGCGCGCAAAACCTCGGATTATTACAAAGTCAAGTAAGTATAAACTATAAGCCATAATCCGATATCATTTCCTTTAGGCAAATAGAGTTTGAAAGTATACTTTTACACATTTTTGTTACTTTCAAACTTTTCTCATAGCAGTATAGCACTGATCGGTCTTTTATATATGTATACATATATAAATATAATATATATATATATATATATATATATATATATACATTGTTCTCCTTCTTCTTTTCCTCCGTCGTTTTGCTTTTATGTGCCATTGCAATTCTAACCAATATCAGCCACCAACAATCTGGGAATAATGGTAGTTTGCGTAGTAGTCATACCAATTTATCAGCGACGGGAATTAGCAATTCAGTATCCAGTGCTTCAACGATAGTAATCACACCAACATCGCTAACCACGCCCTCTATACCGCCGGCTGTAGCGTTGAGCATGTTGGAGCCTCAAGCCCAGGTGATACACTTGCAAGCTACCAAGGCGACGAGTGTAAATAATACGTCAAACGAGGAGGATGATATTATGGGCGAAGAAATGAGACCGGTACCAATACAGACGAACGATGTGCGACTTCAGATTTTACATGCAGTGCTCCAAGATCATACATATGCTAATCCTATGCCCATACCACTCCCCTCAACATTTTCGGTACAAAATCCTGGTGGGCACAACACATCCAACCATGGTCTAATAAATTCTTCAGCCACCGGAACGAGTATTGTGCAGCAATGGTCGCTTGGTGGTATAGCGGCCGTAGCTGCAACAGCTGCAGGCGCGACAGTAGGCCAACAACCATCATATTCTCTTTATGGCCAGCAAAGTAAGTTTAATTTCCTTGCGTTAATTAATTTGTGATATCAAAACTAAGTATTTGTTCCCGGTTTCATCTGATTTTAGTACCTCGTCTGCAGCAAGACGATGACGCTCACTCAGCTATCAGCAACGGATCACGAGTTGCTTTAGGTGATATTGATCCGGGTGAAGAAACAGAAACTGCGCCCGAAGCTGAAGCTGAAGATGATTCGGTCACGCGTTGCATTTGCGATCTCACTCATGATGATGGTTATATGATTTGTTGTGACAAATGCTGGTAAGTAGTTAATAAAAGCTAACGAAATAATTCAAAAGGATAAGGTAAACTACCTACCTTTCTTTATCCGACATCTTTTTTCACGATAGTGAATGTGCATGCATAGCTAGGTGCTTATTTTCAAGGTCACTAAAATTTTTTTATATAAGAAAATCACTGTCTGTTGTAGTTACGATAACGGAAATTAATGAAATTAATATAAATTGAAAATTACATTGAGTAATGACGTGTAAATCTATTAATTCACGTGTTATCTGTAATCTAGAATTTATTTATTACATTTTCTGGAGTGGTCTGAAACTTTATATTTCTTGTTTCTTTCCAGCGCTTGGCAGCATGTCGACTGCATGGGGATCGATCGTCAAAATATACCGGACGAATACTTGTGTGAATTGTGTCAGCCAAGAGTGGTTGATAAAATTCGAGCTCGTTCTTTACAATTAATGAAACGTAAAGAACAAACTCATATGATGTTAACCGCTCATGCGCAAGCTGTAGCTAGTGGCAACGCTTCTGGTATAACTAGTACTGGCGTTGGTAATAGTGGTGGCTTATCTGGCCTTTTGTCTAACGATGTGGTAGTCGCTCAACAACGATTAGCTGCAAGTGGTTCTTATCATTTTGCTGGCGTTGACGGCCATGGGCCTGATTCGGGAGTCTTACAAATGTCAACGGGCCCATTAGCAAGTGCTCATCATGTAAATCTGAAAAAAGGAAACAAGATGCTGAAAAAAGTCAAAGATACGGTAGGTAGTGGTAAGAAATCTAAAAAGGCAGAAAAGTTGGCGGCCATGGCCGCCGGTGGATTAACTGCAAAACCGCCGCGGAAGGAAAGTAAGAAAAACGCTAAACGCAAATCAAAGAATGGTCTTGACGGAAATGCAACTGGAATGACAGCAGCTGAAAAGTATGCTGCCAATCTGCGCCAATGGATCGAAAATTATGAGTTGGCTGTAACGAATCATTACTCTCCTGAGTTGAGAGCTCGTCTACATGCCATTACCAAGCAACCTACTTTGCTGCAAAGTATACTCAATACTGAGAATGTTGCGCTTAAAGAGTGCAGCGGCAATAATTTGGAAAATCGCGCCACTACAGTGCCACATGCTGGTGGAAAGATACTAATCAGCAATTTGGATATTACGCCTAACTCACCGATATGCGAGTTACGAGGTAAATATATGTTAACTACGCAATATAAGACGCAAAATTCGTCAGTAAACATGAACACGCCACCGCCAAGCAATCATCATTTGGCAAGTTTTAAAGCTCATAGGACTCCTGGGCCATTTATATTCTTTTACCAGCTGCCAGGAGCAGAAGTGCCGCAACCACCAACCCAAACCACTACAACCACCACGCAAAACCTTGATGGCACGTATACGACGACAGCCATAACAATACCACCAACACAACCAAGTCTACCAACATACTATAAAGGTCCCGAAATATGTGTAGATACACGAACTTATGGTAATGAAGCACGTTTCGTTCGTCGTTCTTGCCGCCCTAATGCCGAAATACAACATCTGTTTGAAAAGGGTACTATACACCTCTTCATTGTGGCGTTAACCGACATACGTGCCAGTACGGAAATAACCGTGCGTCATGAGCCCCACGATCTATATGCCGTCGAAAATAAAAAGTCGAATACAGTGGTCATACAACCCACTAGCACATCGTGTGCTTGCGGCTTAAGCAAAGATTGTATATTTGGGCCGCCGTTACCTTTGCTGCCACCGGCGGCAAAATCCAACGCAAGCCGCAAAGCTATAACACTCAACGGTGGTGCCTCGAACTCAAACCTCAACCAAACAACGTCTAAACAACGCAAAGCAGCTCAACAAAGTATTAATCGCAACCGCTCGACGTCTTCTAGTGGCGAGAGTAATATAGGAGGGAGTACTACTGTAAAAATTGGTCTAAGCAGCCTTTGCGTTGGTAGCAAAATGAATGTAAGGGGAAATAGTATTGTGCCGTCTCTACCTGTGGGATCGTCTATAAGTCAAAGTAATACTTCTTCTTCAATGTCAAGTATTACGCATGACTCAGGTATCTGTACCTCGTCGTCATCTCCTTCAGTTTCCATACCTTCGCCAACCTCACATATGCATTCGCCTACTCAACCACCAAACCATCAACAGCAAACAAGGCCTTTGCTGATGCCTCAACAGCAACAGCAATTATTAGCTTCACTTCCCACTCCGATGCTCTTGTCACCCGATGTACAAAATCGGCATCAATTATCACAGCAATCCCAGCCGCTGGCTCCGGCGGAGACTAGAACAACTTCACGTGTAACGCTCCATGCTGTACAAACAACATCAGAATCAGACTCACAACAGAATCAAGCGGCTTGTACATCCTCGCTTCAGCAATCTGATATATCGCCTCAATCTTATCAGCCCGGAGCACAATCAAGTGCTACTGAGGTGGCTCCGCAAGAGGTTGTGGCGGCAGCTGTCTTACAAACCCTCAATAGCGCAATGCAGCCGGTATCAGCACTAGCAGCAGATAATGATCAACCGCAGCAATATGTTATTATGCATACAGATTCTCAAACCACTCACAATCCATCCTGCAGTGAACAGCTGCCCACTGTTAGTGGATCATCAAATGTTTCAACATCTTCCCATCAAAAGTCAGCTCAAAAAGCAACTCAACAAACTAATGGAACAGTTTTAACCAGTGGGCGTAAGGCACCTGCCAAAAATAGTCGAACCGTTAGTGGTTCAGAGGATGTAACAACAGACCAACAAAGTGAAAGTGATAATGCCGTAACGTTGGCATCGGTTCCAAACTCATCATCAACACCTAAAGATAAGCCAAAACTATCAAGAGAAGATCGAAAGATGGAGGCCATATTACGAGCCATTGAAAAAATGGAACGTAATCAACAAAGAAAACAGGAACAGAAGCAATCTAAGAAACACAATTCTTCGGGTAGCAATAATACGACGCCTACTTCACCTAATAAAACTTTCGTAGGTGGAGAAATGGGAGATGGTCATGTTACTAAACGCAGCTCTAATCAAGGTGGCGCCTCCACGCGTAAAAAGAAACGCAAAACTGCTCAAAAGAGCTCGCTAGGAAATCATGGTTCACAAAGAAAGCCGCGTCCAAACCAAATGAATATCCAAGAATCATCTGGCGAGATTATTGAACGAGAAGTTGCCACTTCAGAATCTGAAGGACATTCACTTCATTCCCCTCCTGTAAAGGCAATAGCAGGGCAAGAGAGAACGACACAATCTGTGAGTGCACTTCCTAATACGCTAGCAACTGGTACAACGGGCACTGAGCAAATGGCCAATAATGTCGATCAAGCAGCTGGTTTGCTAATGGCCTTTGCAAATCCTAGCGGTTGTGATAATAATGCGGCTGTTTCTTCTCAAATTGTAGAGGAACATTCTCAGGCACACCAATCCCCCCAAGAGGATTATATTATAACTGCGCAAGATATTCCTCCGTCTCCACCTACACCCCCAACTGCAGTAAGTAGTGCTTGTTTGCTGATTGAAGCTGCTGTAGGTCCTTTAGAAAATCTTGATCAAAATACGGAAGTGGCACACTCGGAGTTTAAATTTCCACTGCAAGCTAAGACGAAAAAGCATATGATGAACAATTGGCTTCACCAAGCAGAAGAAAAAAATGTAAATCAAGAAGCAGAAGAAGAGAATGCATCGATGTCAGAAGAAGATCATCAGCGGGTAGCGAATCTTACGGGAGGTTTGGATTCGTTAGTTCAAGCGGCTATGAATGATTTCAAATGCAGCCAAACTTTGACCGAGAGCGAAGAGCCACAAAATCTTAGTATCGTCGCCCAAAGAGTAGAAGAATTTATACAGCAAACTGAAGCTCCGAGACCGTCATCTTCACCACTAATCAGGCATTCCTATGAATACGAACAACAAGACAATAATTTGCCATTACACGAACATAAAGCTCTGAATGTTTATAATATTACTACACCAGCGGTTGATCTTTCCGTAAAAAGCCATGTGAATACTTCTTGCCAACCTTTGATTAAAATGACATCAACATCTGATCAACCTTCGGTAAGCGGCCAAGTACAGCTGCCACTACCATTACAGGTAAGCACATGCAGCAATAATTCATCAGTTAAAAAACGATGGTTACGTCAAGCCATTAGTGAAGAAAGTCATGAAGAAATTCATAATTGTAGTGTGATGGCACCTTCTCCAACTGCGACAATGTCGGCGGTGTCATCCGCAGTAGCATCTTCTTCAGCTTCGTCCGCTAATAGTATTGTCAACGGTTTTACAACACCGCTGAAAAAAAGACGACTCTTATTGAATAGTAAGGATGACATAGAGGAGAATACATCATCGCTAAGAGGTGTAACATCCGATATTTCGCTATCTTTATCTGAAGATGAAAGAGCTGCGAATGGTGTAGTTATATTAAGGGCAAGGGTTGGCAATATGGACAATAATAATTCGGCTTCGGAACCACTTGAAGACATCGAAGTTGATGTCGAGCAATGTGACATTGAAAAAGTTCACCTGAAATTAGAACATCCCAGTGAAGCTGAAGTGGATACCGATGTTGATGTCATTACAGCGTTGGACAGTGAAAATAAGCCGAAAGTTATAATCGAATGTGACGGTAAAGATAAAAATTTAGAGAGTAAAGAGGAGACAGAAAGTGGTCCTAGAATAGAAATACCAGTTGCTGGGGAACTTGGAGATCAAGAAGATGATGTGGATATATTACGGTCTCCCAGTCCAGGTCAAGAAATGATTAAGCCTGAAGATAATTTGGTAAAAATAGAGCCAGAAGATGCAAACGGAAATGAGGATGTCAAAATTGATGTTGAACGCGAAGAAAGTATCGCAGCTGATGAGGAACTAATTACTGAAATTTCTGAAAAACACGAATTAGAGGAAATTTCTAGGAAACCACAAGCAGATATCAAGCTAGAGGTGATGGCTCAGACCAAAGTCGAACTGGAGGGGAAAAAAAAGATTGATAGCCCACAAAGTCCATGCAAAACTGACTGTAAAGACAACGAATATATAGAGCAAACACCAATGCTCAAGGAAGAGCAAAATTTACAAGAAAAAACGCCAGCTATTATAAGCGGACACGCAAAAAAATCCAAATTGGAAATGGGTATGAAATCTACAAGTTGTGTGAAAACTGAAGTATTCTTTGAAGAAGAGGAACCGAAATCTAAGAAACTAAAACTAGAAATTGATATAAAAATTAAGAAACATCCCGGGGATACAGATTCCGTTAGAAATAGGGGAACGATGGAAGCAGAAATTAAATCTTCTTACAAATGCGATGAAATTATCTGCAGTAACATGGTCGATGTTAGAGATAATTTCATTAGAGATTATGATTTGGTTCAAAGAAGTAAATCGCAAGCGCATCTAGAACAAATCGTAGAAGATCAAAAGACATTGCCAGCAGTTCAAAATGTGAATATCGAAACTGGTGAAACTCAGGTGTTGTCTACGCCATTAGTAGAATCTGCTATGTATATGACCGAAGACACAACTACTCCGCCACCTTTACTCCAAGATCCGGTACAACGTCATAAATCTTTAAGTGACGATGACATACAAGCACGATTACATAATTTTCACAAGGAAAATATATTAATTTTACAATCTCGAAATAAAAAAAGTAAATCATCCTCGTCTGCTGGTGCAACGCTGAATTCCGCAAATGAGCAGGGCAAGAATAAAACTAATAGTCATTACGATGGACGTGATATTTGTTCAGAGAAAATAATTACCAGCAAACATAAACCAATAGGATCTTCTTTCAACTCTAATTCATGCTCCCCAAGCGAATCTAAGAAAACGAAGACACATAAGCGGGAGAGAAACTCGAGCAGCAGCAGCAGTACCAGTTATAAAAATTCCTTCACAAACAATACTTGCACGCAAATTTCACCATCCTCTTCAATTTTGTCAACACATCTGAACCAATCTAAAAATAGTACAATGCATTTAATGAATGCTTCGATTTCTTCAAAAAAACATTCGAAGTCTTTAAAAAAATCTTCCTCTGGATCTTCAACTTCGTCTTCTTCTTCATTCTCGTCAGTGAATTGCAACACAACGGTTAATATAGCACTGGAGAAAGATAAAGAAAAGCGCTATTCTCATCAAAGGACGGCCTCAGGTACCACTGGTCCGACCAACACGAATGCTGGGCCCTACTCGAGTTCTAAGAAGCGCCAAGTTAATTTTGAGTTAGAGCTAACTAAGGATTTACATTTGATAACTAATACATGTGTTAGCAAACACAAACGTGATTCTAAAGGGTTCAGTGATGAATGTGTTAGTCAAATATCTGCAAAAAAGCATCGTCGAGATTATGCTTACAGCAAAGATGAATTACGTGTTAGTTCGAACCTCTCCAACCATAGCAGCGGTAATAATAATAATAATAATAATAATAATAATAATAACAAACACAAAAGCCTTACTCAAATTGAAAAATTAGCCCACAATAGCAATGTAACTATGGAACGAAAAACATATACTGCTTCTCCTAGCGGTCATAACAAAAGTTTTACTTCTTCAACGAATTCTAGTGTTACGTCTGCCGTAAGCGTTAGCAGTGGTGCACTTTCAGTGGATGAACCCAAGGTTGTTTCGTCATCATCGCTGGCTGTTGTCACTTCTATAATCAGGGAGCATCCTACCTTGCCTCATTTTAATAACGCAATGATAGCTTCGTCGAATGCCGGATCCTCTTTACCGTCTCCATCCAGAGTGTGCGTCAATGCAATCCCACTTCCAACGCCCTCTAATCCGCAACAATCACCTGTCAACATTCCAGATCATTTAAACGTCAATACTTTTATGACAGCAGTTTCTTCTATACCTTCATCACCGCAGGCATTGCCATCCCTTCCAGCTATATCCTCCGGATCACTTTCAAATAACTTGCAAGTTGCGGTTTCAGTGCCTTCAACAGTTGCAACTATAGCTGCAACCAATCATCTACCGTTCTATAATACAATTTACGGCAAACTTTTGGAAAATCCTTCTATGCAAACAGGTTTGACTGCATCTACTCTCGTGTCGAACTCTATATCTAGCAATAGCGCCCTTATGGCACATGGTGGCGCTGTTGGTGGCCTTTCTGAATATTTAGATACCAAATTAAAAAGCTATAATACTTTAGGTGGATATGTTTCTCATACCGCATTGTTTGGATTAAATAATGGTAACAATAGCAATAGTGGCAGCAGTACAGGCAGCAGCGCTAAGGAATCTAATTCCGGTCAAGCATCTGCATCATCGTCAACCATTAATTCGGCGGCTTGTTCGGAAATATCTGCTCTTTCCTCGTTGAATGCAAGCGCGACGCCTTTAAAAATTCTTACTAAGACCGCCAGTCACGATCCTCGTTTGAATCCACATCTTACAGCGCCCGAGCCACCACCAGCGCCTAAACGCAAGCTATCCATAAATGAATATCGTAAACGTATGCAACAATCGACCAGCTCCACTAACATTCTTTATAATGATAGCAATAGTAACGGTATGACTCCTCCCAGTACAGCACTCGGAACTTTGAATCAATCTCAGATTCATCATACTACTAGCTTTCTGGAGCGTTCCATACAGAGTAAATGTACCCTCAACTCACCGGAGCGAATCGCACAATCGGTGGATTCCCAAATCGAAAAGGAAATAATGTCTTCTACGGGAACTCATGTGTTAGATGCTCTAAACAGTAGTTCTTCAACTGCTAGCAATAACAGCAGTCTAAGTGATTCTCTCACTAAAAGCATTTCTGTAATTTTTATAGAAGAGGATACCACAAAGGGTAATAATGACAACGACGATCATAATAAGTGACTTAAAAAAACATAATCCTTAATTATATCACAGGACAATTTAATGCTGCCCCCACGTTACTTGAAAAGCAACAGGAAAATTTGTGCGCCCGTCTTAAGTCCCTCAAAGAGAGACAATCTTTGAACTCTGCAACTGGGAGTAGAGTGCGTTTTTCTTCGCTAGGTGAGACCAGTAACGATTACGGTTTAAAGCCAGGTAAAGAGCAAATTGATAAACTGATTCAATATTTTTAACAAATAAAGTAAAATATTGAATTTTTCTTATCTACTTGAGAACTTTATTAAAAGTGAATTTACGCGTAAATGTTGCTTATTGTTGTTGTTTTATGGCCATTATGACAGCTTATGTACAGACAGCATCATTCATTTCTTCTTTCGTTCGTCCTGTCGAAGCGAAACTATTTAGAGAATACAATAAATAAATGTGTTCTACTACTTCTTTTCCCGTTTCCATGTTAAGCCTCAAATTTCTATCTGTACGCATACGTTTCCATTAACAGAGTCAATTATAAGGCTAATTATCAAAATTGAGAACCAGTTCAAATTCGAAATTTGACTCACATGCTGTAACATATAAATCGACAGTCCTGAATACAGCAATTTGGATGTCTGTGCTTTCTCTAACGAAATACATAAATAAGTTAATTGTTATCGTAGCATTTGTTTGTGGATTTACAAAAAAAAAAAAAATTTGCAAATCTGAAATATCGAACACTTGTTGTACTCGCTCGCTCGCTCGCTCGCTCCATTCTCAAAGTTTAAAAATTTCGTTATATTGCGTCGGACTCTATTGCGTCATATTAACCAATACTTTTTTGTATTAACATATTTATACCGTTACAAAGGCAAAAACGGTGCAATGTCTTAATATAAATGCGATATAGCATTCGCTATACTCTTCTAGTATATAGCTTGATTTTATCAAGAAGTAAAATACTTTTTCTTGCATTACACTCAAGTCACGTATTCGCAAACGTGAAATTTTTCCATAATGGCAAATTTCAAAATAAATTATCAAACTGATTTGGCTACAACATAGTCCCGAATATAGGTATATAGTACGCCGTTTGTCGGAAAATAGTGCCACTAAATGTTTACGAATTATTACCCAGCGGATGCTCTACAATATTCCAAGTCCAAAGGCAGAGTAGACAGGGGCCATTAAAACACCGCGAATAGCGCTTAACGCACGACGTGATTTATTGCTATAGTATTTTCGAACCAAATGGATCTATCACTAAACAGTGCTGCATGATCTTTGGAGTATACAATGTGAAGAAATTCGTCCCTATATAGCAAAATTCATTTAGAAAATGTTCGCTCGAGCACTGCCTTCCCTCTTTGGCTAGTTGTTCTTTTTGCACTGAATTCATTATTTTTGCAATAGTAGATGCTAGGAGAAGGAGGAGAAGTTTAATGCATAACGCAGTTTTTTTTTTGTAATAAAGCCTCGGACGTCGCAAAAAAAAAAAAAAACAATAAAAAAAACGGCAAAAGCAGAGTTATACATATATAGATAGTAGATCAGGGCGGTAAAAAAATAATGATGTTTTATGATGTATTAAGTCCCTTAAGATGTGTAAAAATTTATGCTAATTTTAGATACAAATATTTTATTTGGTGTAGAGTCAGTCGATTACTTATGAGGTGGGCTTACTTAGATCTGTTTGGGAAGCAATTCCGTGATGCTCGCGATTAAGAAGAGAGTAACTTAACCTACAAACAACTGGTATAAAATTAACATGAGATAGAAAATTGTGTGTCAGTATTGACGAAGCAGTATTGACGAAAATGTTTAAGATCAAGGTTGTGGTTCTATGTATGGATCAATATTTGCATTTTTTTTCTTTTTTGTGTATGTGTGTAACCAACTTATTTTTTCTTATTCATGTTAATGCAGATGAAGACAATTTAAATCGTAAACGCAATCACAGCATATCAAGTGCGGGAGATTTGTTAGATAACTGCCTAGAGGAAATATCATCAACTTCGACGTCGTTATCTTCGTCAAGGGAACCAAGCCCAGAGCGTATCATTTCAACAACGAGCAGCAAAATATTGACACCAACATCGGCAGTCATTATCGGCGCGAGTAATAACAGTTCCATAGCTAACATCGGACGCAACGTTAAGCAAGCCGATGGCAGCTCGACAAATTGAGCGATAAAATGCATTGTATGCGTGAAAACTGAAAGAAATGCTTTTTGTTATCCAAAAAAAAAAAAACTTATGTATACGCCGTCTTATCTCAAGTTTAGGTATTTACGGAAAGTGGATGTAAATGATTTTATTGTTTCTTCTAATGCCAACATGAATGCAGCACTTATTATTATTTAAGTGAGATGATACTATGAAAACAAACGCAAAAATAGTTAAACGAATTAAAATGCAAAATTATAATTTATAGGATTTAATATATAATTTATAATCTCCTTTTCTTGTTAGTAGTATTAACCTTATTTTGCCTTCACTACACATGTTATGTACATGGAAAACTACATACATCTCTTACCGTATTTTAGGCTTTTTATTTATTTATTTTTCATCAGTATACTCCCCCCCTCTCCTCTCTTCATTATTATATGTCCATTTTTTTCGATTACTTTTGTTTTCTCTGAAATTTTCATTTTCGTTAATCATATTCTATTTTAGCTTTTTTTTATATATTTTTTTATTTTTTTTTTTTTTTTTTTGTATACACCTCGTGAACACTTTGAAAGCTTTTTTTGAAATCACATTGTTTTTCCCTAGTCAAAAATTTCTGGAATTATTGCCATTATAACGTTTTACATAATCTGTGTTGTATAGATTGGCGATAATAGTCGATACAGATCAAGATCAAACTGCATAAATTTGGAGGAATTTTTCTTTTTTTTTTTTAATTTTATAAATAAATGTTGGACTGATTGATTGATGGAGTTTGGCTTATTGTTGCCTCGACAAACAGAATTTAACCCTTACTACTGCAATATAATAAATATCAGGCATATATATAATAATTTTTAAATCTCTCTTTCATGGCTAATCTGTAAATTCACATGCACATCTCTAATAATATATGATATGATATTTTAGTTATTTTCTTCTTGTCTTTTTGGAAGCAGCAAATATTCCACGATATTTGTACGTATATGAAATATTTTCAGGAGTTTACTCTTCAAGGATTTTCTTTTCGACGAGGCCTACACATGTTATATATATTTTCACAGGCAATAAATCGATTTTTAATTTAATGTTTCATTCATGTATTTTTTTTTTTTTTTTTTTTTTTTTTTTTTTTTTATTATTTTCATTATTATTATTATTATTAATAAGATTTCTTTTTTTTTTTTTTGGCACACGTGAAAAAATGAAAAAAAAAGGAGAACCAAAATGAATTTATAACTAATATTTTTTGTTTGTCTTTCAAATACCAGAACAGTAACAATTATGTATAAGTGATATTTACAAACACTTGTGCATAGCTGCAAATCCATGCGCAGCAATATGCGCGGGTACGAAACAATACATTTTGTAAACATCAATATTATAATTATAATAAATCGAAATTAAAACGAAAAGAAATATAGTTATTACTACCATTGCTATTAACGTCCTACAACAACAACAAAAAACAAAAGCAACAACAACTTATATTTGATAAAGCAAATGTGAAAACTGTAAATATATTTTAACTAAGTAAAAAATTTGTACTACGGCAAAAATCATCATTGTAATAAAAATTTTTTAGTTATTTAGAATAACACCTTAATAATAAAAACAATCGTTTTAGTTAAAAAAAAAAAAAAAAGAAAAGAAAATAATGTATTTATGTAATCTTTTTTCTTCGATAAGCTTAACTACCCAATTTCCTTTTACTCTCCACTACTTCTACTAAACAAACACTCTATGGAAAGAGAAAAACATTTAAACATCTTCGCCCGTTATGTTGTAATATGTTGTATTTTTTAATTTTTTTTTGTTTTGTTGTTGTATATATAGTTTATAAAAGTGCTAAAAACTAAAATTTTAGGTTTTATCATTGTAAAAAAAACGCGAAATTACTGAATTGCATATATCTTGAAATCTAAATTTATACCCTCTAAATGCAATTTCTTTAAATATATTAAAATATATTAAAAAATAGTACAAAAATTAATTTTAAAAGAATTATAAATATTTAAAAGTTAAGTATATATAATATATATAAAAATATTTTCTATATTTTTATATATATATATATATATATATATTTGTATATATTGATTGATATATATATATATATATATTTATATATATATGTATATAAATATATATATACATTTATATATATATTAATATATATCAATATATATCAATATATATCTATATATATATAATTATATACATATATATATATATATTTTTGAAACTAAAAAGATATGCTACGAAGTAAGCTTCAATAAAATAAGTTCTTTCTTTTGTTAATTTAAAAAGAGAAATAGTCTTTTACGAATTTTATTGGAATTTTTATAATTTTTTTCTAATAATATATAAATGTTACTTTTAGGATAACTAACTCTTCATGTAAAGAAGTAAAACCGATACTACTTTAAAAAAAACTATCGTAATAACAATAATTACAGTAAAATGACGATCATATTATAAACAACAAAAATGTGAAGTATGTGTATATAAGAGATAAAATTAAAAAAAAAAAAAAAAAAAAAAAAAAAACTATTTTATTTTGTACACTAAACATTTCTTGTACAATAGAATTCGTAATGTTAAATACATACGTATATATAATTTTAAAACTTTCTATACAAAATACACCTTCTCCCATAAGGAAAGATTATTACAAAAAAACAAAAAAAACAAAAAAAAATATATTTGATAAAACAAACGGATTGTATCATTGGAAAATTTACTGATTTTTCATTTTATTTTTATTTATTTATGTTTTTTACTTTGTTAAATGAATTATAGAATGATATTGTAAAATAAATCTAAAAAAAAATAAAACCTAAGTGATAAAATATAAATCAATAGTAAAAAATAAGTTGAATGAAAAAAATAATAGCAATTATATTCGGCTTAAATTACGACGTCACTGACGATCATCGTTATATTGGTTTAATGAAAATTTTCTTATTTGAGATGCGCGAACAAGTCACACAGTTAGTCCATTGTATGAACGCGAATGCTATTTACAGCATTTAATTGCGATAGTTCGACTACAAGCGACTTTGCAGACCATTCAGAACATCAGGCCCATTACTTACTTAAGCTAATTCGCATTTTGATTCTTAGCCTTCTTTCAGTCAATAGGGGCATAGTTTCAGCTCTAAATTGAAAAAAACATTTTTTCAACTTAATATATATAAGTTGCAGCTTCTCAGTAAGTACTTGTAGTGCTTGTTGTTCTTTGTAGTGATACTTGTTCGACAATTGCTTACAAACACAAGTAAACACAAGATAAAGATATAGAATTAGAGGCAATAAGTTCCGAACTGTCGTCAGAAAATGAAACGGTTCATAGTCGAAAGTGAAGCATCTGAAACTGAAGATAGCGATAAAAAATCGAGAACAAATAATGAAAATGGAAATGTTATCAAATATCATACCCAGAAGAAGTTGTAGGATACAAATTATTTCAAAACTCTGATGAAAACATTTTTCAGGAGGTCAAAACAGCTCCTGATGGTACTGTGCGGTCAAAATTTGACGAAAGATTGTAGATTAGCATTTATTTGTATTTTCAAGGATGTGAAAGGGCCGACAAACTACGCAAAATGGAATATTACGGCAGATAATGTTGTCAGTGCATTTTCGTTGATAATAGATAACCAACCATATTATGAAACAGTGTGCACAGAAGAAGAAGGTCGCCGAAGTTTCAGATATGATTGGACAATATCGTTACCGCAAATACGTGCATTTATCGGGAGCTTGTATTGTTATGGAGCTTACGAGGCAAAAAGTTTAAAATGGAGTCATGGAGTATGGTCAAGAAGCTGGCGTTCTAGAGAAAAATTTTAGGCAAATCCTACGGTTTCTTCGTTTTAACCGAAGTGCCGAAAGAAATGAGTCCTAAAAAGCCAATAAATTTGCCTTGTTTTCAGAAATACAGAATAATAAGTTCATTGAAAACAGTCAAGGTTGGTGGTATAAACCAGGGCAAAATGTAACAGTTGACGAGCAATTATTTCCTTCAAACGACAGGCGCAGGTTTACGCAGTATCTACCTAATAAACGCAATAAATTTGGCATCAAATTCTGGCTTGCATCAGATGTCAGTTGCAAATAGCTTTTCCATATTTCGGGAAAGATATATAACGACCATCATCAATGTTTCAGAGCGTATATATGTTGTTATGTAACTTGTCCAGCCAAATAGAGGATGTGGAAGAAATATTACGACCAACAACTTTTTCACAAGCTTATCATGATAAGCCACAAAATCATTGGCTAAAGAAACAACTCTAGTTGGAACTATGAGAGGAAATAAAAAGAAATTACCAAAAGTAGCCAAACAAAAAATGATAACATGCCTCGTTTCTTCACTCTGCAATATACAAATCAAAGAATTAATTGCGCTCTTACAATATATATAAAAGTGGACCAACGAATAGCGTGGCTGTTCTAAGTGCAAATCAAAAATTTGTAAAAATTGATAAAAGTAATAAATATCTTTTACCGAAAACTATTAAATTTAACAAACAGCACCAAATTTGAAGTTGATATCGCCCCAATCAAATGGCTACAGAATATACAGTAAAAACTGGTTCATGGCTGCTATAAAATGTCTGGATTCTTTGCAAAGAAACGACAAGAATAAAATAGCATTGAAAATATTTCTTATTTCCATTAGTAGAAGAGCTTTTCATTGAATATATAAATACAAGGCAGAAATTTTCACAAGACTCTAATCAGATAGGTTGAACACAGTTCAGCTGCAACATCATCAAATGCAAACCATATCGTAATAAATGCAATATTTGGTAAGTACAACTTGGCCACAGTAACAAAACAAGTAATATTTGTGAAAAGTGCAAAAAGTACGTTCGTGGAAAATGTATGTATAAAAAAAATAATGTCAACTTTAATTTACAAGATATTTACGTAATGTATGTATGTAATAATGCATATAGTACTTTTTATCTTGTTTTCTTTATTCCTTAATATATACTAATAACTCAATATATACGTAATTTTAAATAATATAAAACAAGTAAGAAGACGGTTCCATTTTTGGACCTAGAGACTAAAGTATCTCGTCAAGCATATGTGGAAAATGTCAGCTTTCTAACTTTAATAATTTCCTAGAAACGAGCAAAAATCCACAAATATTTATTTAAAAAAATGGAGTTGCGTTCAGCTTACGCTCCGACCGATTTGGCCCATTTTCAATATTAACGTGCTTACAGAAACTTGCAATGTTTCTAATAAATTTGAAGTCAATATCTTAATTTTTGCGACACACGTACACACAGATGGACAGATATGGCTAGATCAACTCAGGTTTTCACACTGATCAAAAATATGTATACTTTGTAGGATCTCTGAAGCTTCCTTTTGGGTGCTACATATATGTTAGGGGAAAAAAAAAAAAAACAGAATGAGTATACCTCCATCTTACAGTGGTGGGTATAATAATATTAAAACTTAATTTCAAATAAATTATTTTACGCATTAGTTATTCTATCACATATTACTTTTGGCCGATATAGGTAGGTAATGTAGTAAATTTCAGTCTTCCTAGTGTATAAAGAATGTTAGACGGCAACTCAAGAGAGCATGAAAAAATTCGTTTTCGCTTTTCGGAAAAAGAAGCGTAGTTCTTTTTCGCACGCCACGCTTCTCCTTGATTTCGGTAAATCAGAACAAGTCAATGCCATTCAAGTTAACAAGAAATTCTTCATACAAAGGCACATCTAATTGGTCTTTCAGTTGAATGTATCTGACAAGTCTTTGCAAAAAGATTTTTGGCCTTAAAGGAGTAACATCAGTCTAAACAGGTTAAAGAAAGAGAATTCTTTTTTATTATTTTGTGACTAAGAGATCTGGGGCTGGCAAACTCCGTATCGAAATTGCAATGTGAGTTGATAGCTTTCATTAACGAGAATTTGATTGATAATCCATAGTTCTATAGTCCACATAGTTCTATAGTCCATCGCAAAGGTGACATATCCTTTACCACGGTAAAGCTACGAATTATTTCGTGGGAATACCTTGTTTATTTCTATATTTTGAACATAGGCAATTTTTCATTCTACTCTTCGGTCAAATTTGGATTATTTAACATTTGAGCAGCAATACGCATGTAGTCCTGGAATTTGATATACTGATGACGACGATGCGATATTCGGTAAATTTCTACTCGGGGCCGGATACAATAAGGCGTTCTTTTCGTTTTCGGATTAAAATTTTCCTAGTGGTAAACACAACGGGTAGCCGCGCTACCATATTGTTTTACAGGAAAATGTAAACAACAACATATGGTTTTAGAACGAAAAATCGAGAAATCAACGTAAACATGAAGAACAACTTCATACAATTTAATAATAAGAAAGTTAATGCAAAAGCAGAATTTAAGAGAATGGTCACACTGATTGAATATCTGGCGCACGTTTCTCTCTCAATCATTCGAGTCCTTGTCTTGCAGTTGGGATAGGATTATAAATGTTTCGAATTTAACCAGTGTTGCAATTTGAAGGAAAATTTTACCGGCTATAGTGATTACTTGCACGGTGCTTTGATAATACCATCCATTGTTGGCGGGTATATTAAAGTAAAAATCCTATTAACGGTGTCTTAATTTGACGTCATACACTGTCAAACGCTTAAAATGCAAAAGCATAGACAATTTTGTGTTTATAAGTACGTGTGTAGGTAGAAAAACCACACAGTAGATATGTATGTAACAATATATGTTCTATTTTTTGTACATGTAAGCTATAGCGCATATTCACATAAAAGCGCAGAATTGTATATTCAAATATGCTTCTTCTTATCCTATAAAGAGAACTGAATTCAATGATGGATAATTTGCTAATTCGAATGGACTCGGTATGAACAATATAACAAGAGACAACTAAATAAGGCCTAAAAATGTCGAAAAATGTTTCCTAAGACGAAGCAAATCTGAGGCATTTTTGGTGATTCTGTTATCAATAGCAACAGTATTTCTTATTCTTATAATTTGTATTGACAAAAATTCTGATAATGGTTTCTTTATTTAAAAAGCAAAAGCATAGACAATTTTGTATTTATAAGTGGACATGTGCTATGGTATACATGTAAGTGCGTATGTACGAAGAAAAACCGCACTGCAAATATGTATGTAACAACATATGTTTTATTTTTTTGTACATACACACTTATGCTATAGCGCATACGTAAGCTATAGCGCATATTCACTTAAAAGAAAAGAATTGCAAATGTTCCTGCTTTGCAAACAGTTGAGAGAATGTGATACCATATCAAGAAGCTATTAACGGATTTTTTATCCATACGAATATTGAGAATGACAGAGGAAGCATACAAATGGCTGCTAATTAAAAGCGTTACTACTGTTGTTGATAACATATACAAAAAATATGCCCGAGATTCCCCTAATCTGAATTTCGTACAAAACGTTGGAACGTCTATACGTTTAGTTGTCTCTGGTATAAGTACTGTGTGTACTTAGAAAAAAACCAAAGTATAGGTAGCAAATGTGACTTGTTTTCGTTTTGTCGTTGATATTAACCACTATTGAAGAATTCCAAATCTTATAGTCGCCGAATGCTTTAATAAATTTCAGTAAAAAATTTCTATGGGAATATAAAGAAGTAGGGAAAACTCCTGTAAAAGCTAAACGGCAGCAAATTCACATAAAATTCAAGTTTCGGATATCAATTTAATAAGGAAAATAAATGCATTTTATAGAAGAGTTCCTCCAATCCACTTGGACCTTGTGGCACACAATGGCGAGTAATAGCCATTATTAACTCTTACATTGAAATACTTGAAAAGTATCAATGCAAGACACATCATCTTAGTTAACTTAAGTTAAAAAATTACTTATCCATGTATATTAAAACTATCGTTTATAAGCTTTATCATGCATGCCGTGGTCATAAAGAAACGTGTAAATGTTTTTTTTTTTCTTTTTTGGAATTATTGTACACGTAGCGGAAGCGCATTCTTTTGCTTCGCAATCGAATCATTGCCGGCATATACCAGCTGAATATTAGCAGTAACAGCTTTGCTCAGGACCCGAGTTGCTTACGAAACAGTCATCTTCTCGATAGCATTGTCGTATATGTGTGATGTCGTAAGCTTAGGAGAAAACTCAAAGTTTACATTCTCCTTCTAATTCTCCATCAGATTCGATACTATTATTTCCTGGCGAAATGCCTGAAAAAAAAAAAGTATTCCTTACACATTTAATGAGATAACAGTAATCGTACAGTATACGGATTCGTGATAAAAACATTTTTTTTTGCAAATGCTTTCCGTTGCGGTAATAATCAACACGTGCGTGCCTATTATCGTAGTAAGAAAGAAGATTCTGAACATACATGCCGCTCAGAATTACATACAATGCCAAACAATGGTGAATGCAAAATTTTGACAAAATTTTATACTTGATGCGTTTCATTTGCACTGGTAGTTGGATCATATGTTTAATATATCATATGATTTTAAAGTAATCCTTTAATGCTTTCGACCAATCGCCACTTTTCATAATGCAACGATGGAGCCGTATTTCTATAGTCCTAATTAATTGCAATACCTATAAATATAAATAATACGTTATTGACGCCATTAATTGCATCGACTTTTGTGCTATGCTTTATGTCAAAGACGGTAACTGCAAATTTTTCTGCGAGGAAAATAATTACGGCAGACTTTATGCAGATAGATAGACGGACAGAAGGATATGCTTAAATCGATTCAGAATTTCATGCTGATTAAGAATATATATATATATATATATATATATATATACATTGTGGGATCACTGAAGCTTCCTTCTAGGCGTGGCAACGTTTTTAACAAAACGAATATACTTTTCATTCTTCGGCGATGGATAAAGAAATGATTTGCTAAACGTTTTTAAATGGTTTTTCCCAAAAGGATAAGAATAGTCACCAAAAAAAAAAAAAAAAGTAAAAAACTCGGATATTGTATTCCTAAAAGTCTTTGTATTCGTTCACATTGGAAAGAAAATTACAAAGAAAGTCTTTGAAGACTACTCCATATTTTAAAGAGTATTTCGCTTGATAAATTTTGTCTGGAAGTCATCGCCCATTACAGTTTACTGATCGCAATCCACACGATAAAAATCAACTCTATATATATATATGTATATATATATATACGATTTTCGTCGACCACGTATTACCGAGGAGTAAAAGTCTTCTTACATACCGTTTGCTGGTGCAGTTGTGATAGCCGGAGTGTGTTTATAAAAAAGCAGCGTAAAAGCAGCTGACTCGGATATGTCTGTTTATTTCTCATTCGATTGCGAAATAAGTATACGAATAGTAAAAGCCGCGTATTTGAAAATGATTAAAATTTTTTTTTGTTTTTGTTAAATATTTATTAAATTATTTTCGTACACTAGGTGGCCTTTAATTGATAAAAACGGAAAACCGTTAATTTTCAAAATTCCATTTAAAACACTAATACAATTTTTTGCTTTAAATGTTATTAGAGTGTATGCGCCTATGAGACTGTTTTCGATGGGATGTTTTATTAAAAATAACGGTATAAGTTCGAATAAGAAAGAGCTTTATTTTGCATTTGATGCGCATGGAGAGCAGATGTAGAAAAGAAAACAACATTATATTTTCTTTTTTTTTTTGAACGTAAGAACGGTAAGAAAGCGGAGAGGTGACGAATATAATGTGTATTTCAAATAATATAATAACCTGCGACAATTGCATATGAGTTACAAAACTACCGTTATAGTACAAACTTGAAAACGTACTCAGTAACAACATATGTAAAATTCCTCCGCTAAAGGACGAAATTTTTTCTTATAATATTTGGAGGAAAAAAAAAAAAAAAAAAGAAAGAAAAAAACTTTTGAATATGAAAATAACCTAATAAAAAAATAAAAAATAAAAAAAAAAGCAAATAAGAAAACATATTTAATAGAAAATTGATGAATTTTTTTTTTTTAGTTTGGAAAAGGCTATGGCTGGACAAATTTAAAAAAGAAACTATTTCATTGTCGTGTTTATACGTGTGTACGCAATAGAAAGTGCTTGCAAGAATACATTTTCATCTTATACGAATTGTGTAATAAATTCAGAAGCTTAAGGAATATTGGATACTAAAAGCAAATTTTCAATCAATTAATTAAAAAAAAAAAAAAAACAAAAAAACAAGAAACCAAAAATAACAGGAGAAGAGAAGGAAAAAATATATTAAAAGAACGAAAAAAACTGTGTCTATTTGGTCTAACCCACATTTTCGAAACAAAGTTAAGGTAACTTATAAAAAATTGAGAAAAAAAAAAAAAAAAAAAACAAAGGGAAAATATTCCTTTCTTTTTTTTTTTTTTGAAGCTATTTATTCGCCAGTGCACATACATATATACTAGAATGTAATTGCACTTAAGCCTACATACATGCATGCATGCATGCATGCATGCACATATAAAAACGGAAAACGAATTATGCACACACCCACACTCTTAGCGGTCATCGAGCACATACATATATATATATATATATGTATATATATATTGCATCCAAGTCACAAGGATCTAATTAGAAATAACTTTGCATTGTTATGAACATTAAGTTATAGTAAATCAATAAAATAAATAAAATATCGTATCGTTAAGAAATGAAATAAATGAAAGATATCTTATACTGCAAATTTACACTATTGTATAGGATGTTGCATGCATGTACTTGATTATAAAATATTACATATGTAAAATATTCGTTTTCCCTTTGTTTATTAAAATTGTATTTACGATTATTATTATTTTTAATATTTTTATTAGTATTATTACTTTATAGTTAATTGTACTTTTAATTTTTGAACATTTATTTAGCATCATTCATTTGGATTCCTAATATATTTATTCACTTGTCTTTAAGAATTTTGAATATATAGGTATTTATATATCATTCATTGAAGGCACACCGTGCAGTGTCATATATTATATGCACTGCGCGTATGAATGTTGTTTACTTCATTTATTTGTAGTATCTACTAGAATTGTTTTTATTTAAATTTTCGTCGAAATAAATTTTGTTCGATGATGAGCGTCGACGCTGACATTCTCTCTCTCTCCCTCTCTCTATCTCTATCTCTATCTCTATCTCTCTCAACCCATCTCCTCTCTTCGGGATGGTAGCGAGTATTCGCTCATTTATACGATGTTTTTTTTGTTTTTCATTTTGTTATTGTTATTATTATTATTATTATTTTTTTTTTTTTGCATGATTTATATAGTTGTTTATGCGAGAGAAAGTTATTTAACTTACATTTTTTTATAATTTATATACAATTTTATATTTTCTTTTCGCTCTCATGCAATTTTTCGACAGTAAATGTTGTTTTAAAGTCATAGCTTGATTATGTTATGTGTGTTAAATGTTACACGTTCGTTTTACTTTATTTACGATATATCTTTCTCTTATAGTAAATTATGCAGCGCGAGCTGCTCTCTCTTCATATATCCTGCCTTACCAATAATGCATAACATTTCGCATGCATAGCCAATGATGTTTTTATATATATTTTTGATGAAACGTATTTGTTTTACTATGGAAGACTTTTTGGGAAAATTGAAAAACAAAAACAAAAATAAATAAAAAAAATTATATATATTCGGTTGTAAGCGAATCTTTTATGCCCATCACCGTGATCCTAAACAAAATTTCAGTTTTCATACTCTATAATAGTAGATGGGTGCGGTTGATTTTTTCTATTTTCAGAGCAAAAGCCGAATGTTTATACGGTGCATGTAATATGCCTTTGCTTTGATCTGAATCATTTTCAATACCTGCAACCTGCATGCAAGATATTTCAGGGTTTCTAATAAAGTCGATAGTCGTCTATTTTGCTGCCAGGAAAATGTTTACAGCAGACTTTGCATAGATGGACAGCCAGACAGACGGACATGCTTAAATCGATTCAGAATTTGATGCTAATCAAGAATATATAAACTCTGTAACGTCAATTAAATTTCCTTCTGAACGGTGCAAACTTTTTGATAAAATGAATATACCCCTCATCATGAATATATATATGCCTCATCATGGGTACAAAAAAAAAAAATAAACAAGTGAAGTGTAGAAGTCACATGATTATATCGAAGTTAAGTGCGAATTGGTTTTCAACTTTCATGTCCGCTGTAAGTGAAAGCGTGTACTATGGTGAGGTCTTCAAAATTATTATAAAAATTTGGCGTTGAGCTATCGCCAGGTTCTCTCTTCTCCCAGCTTATTAGATGTATGGGCGATATCGCCTGCTTAAACCGGATGTCATTAAATGCTACCCAATGCAGAAGTTTATTAGAGGATTAAAAACTTGTGCTGATGTGCTGAAGCGCTTGCTGATACGTGCAACTATGGTTGCAAAAAATTAATGTTGTCTTTGACTAAAGTAAAGTGACGTAGTAAAAATTCATCGTTATGTGCCTCAGCCGGCATTAGTATTCACTAAATTGTAAGTTAGTTGTTAAGCCAGTTGGATGCGTAGAAGTGGCTATGTTTTTCGCGTACATCGTTTGCTTTAAAATCATTTAATAGCCAGAACTTTAATCTACCTCCGGAATTACCAACAGTGTTAAAAGAAGGATAAATCCATGGATGCACACCAAGCCACTTCTAAATTGTCAGCCTTAATATATTTTGGATGGCGTCAGCTAAAGTGTTGAGTGATTAAGGAAAGTATTTGTAAATCTTCAATCGTGAGACAGTTAGGCAAGTGTAAATACCTCGAGCACATTATTAGGGTGCCAGCAAATTTATCTCACGTCTCGGCATTGAGTTTCGTGTCGCTTAATGTCAATTGCACTCTATCTTCAATGTTAACTGCAATGTCTCCCCGGAAGGTGTTGGTATACTCTACGCATATCTATGGCACCTTTCGCTATAAACGATTAACGCCCAACATGGGGTCGGTATCGGATTATTTCAGTTGAATAGAATGACATTACATCGCCAAAATGTTTGGGATTATGTGTTGGATTTGCTTATGCAATTGAGATTTCAACCGAGCTTAACTTAAAACTGAGTTCATTTTTATTTGAATTAATTTTTACTTAAACTTAGTTTCAATTTTCGTTAATTGCCGTTCGTTACAGTCGTAATATAAATTATAAGTATAAATATGTAATTCGGTCAATAGTACAGCTACGTATCAAGATATTGTTAACTCAACTATTACTTATACCATCACATTTTTTGCTATTGTGAGTATCGCCTTCTCTTATATAGGGGCGTGAAGGATTTCCAAATGTCTCCTAATAGTTAATGGATATCACGCATGAATACGTTCTTTATTTTGAGTTTACAGTATTCGATTACAAATACAATGTGATAGGATATGTTGAAAAGAAATTTTGATAGTATCGTTTATTGTATTGATTTCAATCTGTTCTGTGAATAACAATATAGTTAGTTGAATTGTTCATGATCGAAAGCGATAAGTCCAAAACAAACATGGCGATCGACGGCCGTAAAACGATCCCGATACGATGTCTATAAGTAAGTTTACGTCTATAACGCCTACTTACAATTGGTTCGAGTTCATCGTAATTGTATGTGTGATGTGAGTGTATCCATATCCTTCTTGAAAGTGGGTTAAAGTTTCTTTCGGAAATAATGAACTTTTCCAGATGTATGCTTACTCGCTTTTAATTTCATACAATACATTGTTGCATAGAAAAATATTAACCGTTCCCCGATTATTTAAAATAAAATTTTTCCACTTTTTTTATATATCTATCACCGAAGCATGTGAACTGTAAGCTTTTTTATGCCTACCATCGAAGAGTGAGCGTTATATTCATTTGGTCGAAAAGTTTGCAACGCCCAGAAGTAAGCTTCAGAGATTCCACAAAGTATATGTATTCTTGATCAGCATGAAATTCTCAATCGTTTCAAGCATATCTGTCTGCCTATCTGTGTAAAGTTTGCTGTAAACATTCTTTTCGCGGCAAAATTGAAGTAATCGCCTTTAACATAACCTGCCGCAGATAAGTCTACAAACCATTGAACGCATACTCTAAGGGCCAAAAATGGAAAAATTTGACCACGCCTACTCAGTGCTACAATATGTCGAAGTCTAATTCCTTTTTCAGTACCTTTATAACGCCCAGACGCAATCTTCACAAACCCCATAAAGTGTATAGATTCTTGGCCGGTTTCAAGTTCGAAATGCATCTAAACATGTCTGTCCATGAATTTGAAAGTGAGTCATAAACTATCTAATTTTCATTTTTTCCCTCTTTTGACGTTTTCTATCCCTTACTCTCTTGCGGCAACCACGACAAAATTTAGAAAATTATTCCGTATATTCTACACATGAATATCGTTGTTTTTAATTAAAAAAAAAATTGAACACGCCCACTCATTATTAGCAAATATCAAAATTTAGTTGATTTAGTTTGGCGCGCTTTTTTACTCATTATTCTTAAGTCGCAGTGAAAAGTGCATTCGGCCCCAGTCGAATATAATTTTCTTATCTGTTTTAGTTTTTTACATATGACATTGTTACATATAAGAATTAATAACGTGTTGCGGAATAATGTATGTCGGCCCGCCCGCCCGTCCTTAGGGCGATAATATAAATTACCTTTCAAGTAAGGAAAACAATTCAAGTATTAGTAGCTTTACCGTTAGTTCTGAGTCTTCAAATTCTTCCAGTGTTTGGCTTGAGTTGCTGTGATTAATTGCAGAAGCTGTCGGTGCTGCTATTGTTATTGTTATGGCCGGTGCAACGTTCGTCTGTGATGGATCCCTTAGTACGTTTTCCAGGCCGCTGCTAGGTTCTTCGTTTGTTCGATTTAATATTTGAACTAGCTGGCGTTTTTCTTCTTTTCATTGCGGCTTAAGGTACGGCAACGTTAGATGCGTTTAAGCTGTTGCTTAATAGTTTCTTCCGTCCGGCTAGGCATTATGCGATTCCTATAATCTCGAACAAGCATATATCGACTCGATATTCCGTTTATCTTTAGGATTCGTCACTTAAATTTTGTTGTTGGAGTTCTCAATGATTTTCGGAAAAATAATTTGGATGAATATATTCTTCTGTTGTACAATATCAAACTCGTGTTAGATATAGCGGATGGACTTTTCAAAAATTTTGATAAACTTTTTAATTTGGCTATGGGTTGGTTGCTGAATATCCGAGCACTGTTAGTATATGTTTGAGTGAATTCATCAAGAAGAGTTTTGGAAATTCGCTCGATGTCTTCTATTACTATTAACAACAATTTCTGGTAGATCGTAACATGAGCAAAGT